TGCCTATATCTAATAGTTTAATCCACTGAGTGTAACATTTTAGACCAAATCATCCCAACTTCAGCTCAGTATTGTGCATTGTTTTGATGGGGTTAAATCTACCCATTGCAAATTCATAAAGACCAGTAAAATATTCACAAAATGTTCCGATGCATGCTCAATAAATCCAGGTAGTTCAATGTAACGAGGTTAAATCAGCTCCATCCTGAAGAATGAACAGAAGAATCCATCCAGAGGACCTGACGTAACCTTATTAGATATTCAAAAAAATGTATTTTCACCTTAAAAGCCTTTTTTTTTCATATCCATGATTAATGTCTCCCTAACTGGAAAATCTGTATACAAAAATGTTCAACCACAGATATTCGTTTAGCTACAGAAACAGCTGAAATGACTGAAAACAAAGTGACACTTTTTATTTCAGCGTCGTTTGTGATGGACAGTTTTGACGTTTCCTCTGAATTTTGTAGAGTAACATGCAGGAGGTAGGTTAGGTTGAAACGATAAAGTAACCCAGCTAACAGAAGTCTTGTGAAAGCTGTGTGTTTGAACGTTCAGCTCCGTCTTTATGGCGCGTTGTGTTTCTTGTGTCTGGTTGAACCCATGTGCAGGCAGGACTCTGAGAACTCAGGAGGTACAAACAATTCAATTGATTTATTAAACAAAGCGAAAGGCTGACGTGACAGAAACACGTGAACATTGGTGAGACACAGAGAGAGGCAGAAACCAGGATGCCATTGAAGACAATGAGAAACAGACGCAGACTTATATACAGACACTAACGAACAGACAATGACAAACACCTGGGGAAGGACAACAGGTGGCGGAGGCAGGAGCTGAAGGAGAAACACGGAGGAAGAGCAGAACAGGAGACAAGAGTAACGCCAACACACACAGATCCTCTAATGGTGCTTCACCCCCTTGATTGATCCATAAAACATATTTTTGACTGCAGGCTTACTCATCATTTCCATCTTCACACACGTTTTTCCACTTGTCCAGGTGTCTTCACATCTCCGATTCTGTCCTATTTGTTTTCTCAGACCAGCCTGACGTAGTTGAGCTGTGCGCCTCAGCTGGATGTCTGGAGAGCAGGTGAAAGCCTGAGATCTTTCTCTACAGACGCTGTAAAACCCTCGTTTCAATATAGAACATCTGACTGAACATTTCTTAGCAGGGCATTCAATTGAGCATGAAAAAGAAACGTTCAACCAATCAAATTTTTAATCTGGATCCTAATTTAGATTCTCCTAAATTAAATCGACACCAGCAATTATTGAAAATGCATCTGCTCTGCCGATGTGATGCGAAGCGAACGCTCCGGGAATCAATATGTGACTCAGTCGAATGAAGCCCGGCTGTTTTTACTTCGCTCTGAAGGCTTAACCTTCTCTCTGCTGCCATAAGAAATGCCTAAATTAATAATGCTGGTTTAGTTCCTTCTGCAACCTTTTGATCCTGCATCAACTTGCCTTATTGAAAAGAAATCTCATCCTCTGCATCTTGCAGAGAGGGAAACCCTCCTGTGTCCTGCAGCGGCCGTTGACGTCCTCGTACATTTGGCAGCTCCTCGGTTTGCTTTTCACACTTTGATATCAAGATGCATTGACCTCAGCAATGAGGTCAGCAGGCAGGCTCATGAGCACTAACTGATACACTCACGCCCTTCTCATCTGCTGTGTGTGGAGAGTTTTATAACATTGCAAGATATCCTCACATTTTAATGAATCAAAATCACAATCAGCTTTGTGGGATTTTTGTTTTGGTCATATTCTTTCAGCCTCAATAAGCAGGAGCAGTTACAGACTTGCTGCTCAAGTTCATCTTGCTGGATCTGCACATTAATGGACTATAGAACATGTGTTAAACAGCTGCAGTGGCTACATGTGTGTGTCTGCATGTGTGGGCTTGATTTGGAGACATGTCTTGAGAGTTGAGCCTGATTGCTTACCTGCAGTTTTCCCAGAATTACCGTATTTTTCGGCGTATAAGTCACTCCTGAGTATAAGTCACATCAGTCACAAAAGGCATCATGAAGAGGAAAAAAAAAATATAAGTCACATTTATTATGTGTCACCGCTGACCCATCACATTTGGGACGTTTTTATTTAATGGTCAAAATGGCTTCATTTTTTATGGCGGTGACCCATCCATCCATCCATCCATCCATCCATCCATCCATCCATCCATCCATCCATCCATCCATCCATCCATCCATCCATCCATCCAC